CCTATAGGCTCCACCAAAAATCTGGTCAACCTAATAAATGAATTTGTCAGAACAGCAGGATACAATGTCAATATCTAGAAGTCAAAGGCATTCTTGTATACTAACAATGACATATGAGAAACAGAAATCAAGAAAAAATTTCATTTGTTATAGCAAAAAGAAAAATAAAGTACCTAGGAATAAACCTAACCAAGGAGGTAAAATATAAGACCTGTGCTTGGAGAACTAAACAACACTGAAGAAACAAACTAAGGAAGACACAAACAAATGGAAGCATGTACTTTGTTCACAGAGTGGAAGAATTATCATCAAAAGGTCTGTATTACCCAATGCAATTTATAGATTCAGTGCAAAACTTTTCAAGTACCAATGGCATATTTCACAGATATAGAATAAACATGTCAAAGATTTTTATGGAACCATAAACAACCCCAAATAGCTGCAGCAATTTTGAGAAAGAAGAACAAAGCAGGAGGGATCACAATACCTGATACCAAACTGTATTACAAGGTCATTATAATCAAAACTGCCCAATACTGTTATAAGAACAGACATATGGACCAATGGAACAGAACAGAGAGCCCAGAAATAAACCCAAGTGTCTATGGTCAATTAATATTTGACAAAGAGGGCAGCAACATAAAATGGAATAAATCTAGCCTCTTCAACAAATGGTGTTGGGAGAACTGGACAGCTACATGCAAAAAAATGAAACTCGATCACCAACTTACACCATACTCAAAAATAAATTCAAGGTGTATATAAGACTTAATGAAGTCCTGACACCATTAAAGTCCTAGAGAAGAACATAGGCAGGAAAATCTCAGATATTCCACATAGCAACATTTTCACTGATATGTCCCCTAGAGCAAGGGACGTAAAGGAAAGAATAAAGAAATGGGATTCCATCAAAATAAAAATCTTCTGCATGGCTAAAGGAAACAGCATTAAAATGAAAAGAGAACCAACTGTATGGGAAAACATATTTGCCAATGATACCTCAGACAATGGTTTGATCTCCAAAATATATAAATAACTCACACAACACCATTCCAGGAAGACAAACAACCCAATTAAAAAATGGGCAAAGGATTTGAACAGACACTTCTCCAAGGAGGACGTGCAGTGGGCCGAGACATACGAAAAGATGCTGAGCATCACTAGCCATCAGAGAGATGCAAATTTAAACCACAATGAGATGCCACTTCACACCAGTCAGGATGGCCATCATAAACAAAGCAACAAACACGTGTTGGAGAGGTTATGGTGAAAAGGGAACCCTAGTGCTTTGTTGGTGGGAATACAGACTGGTGCAGCCACTATGGAAAAAAGTATGGAATTTCCTCAGAAAACCAAAAATGGAACTGCCTTTTGACCCTGCAATTTCACTGCTAGTATTATACCCGAAGAACACTGAAACACCAGTCCAAAAGAACCTATGCACCCCAATGTTCATAGCAGCACAATTTACAATAGCCAGGTGCTAGAATGAACCTAAGTTCCCATCAGTAAATGAATGAATCAAGAAACTATGGTACATTTACACAATGGAATACTACACAGTGGAGTGAAAAAAGCTCCTACCCTTTATGACATCATGGATGGAACTGGAGAGCATTATACTAAGTTAAAGAAGCCAGGCTGTGAGGGACAAATACCATATGATCTCACCTTCAACTGGAACCTAATCAACAAAACAAAAAAAGCAAGCAAAATGTAACCAGAGACATTGAAATTAAGAACAATGTGACAGTAACCAGAGGGTAGGTGCCAGGGGACAATTAGGAGAAGGGGAACAGTTTTCAGGAACAAGTATAAAGGATGCATAGACAAAACCAAGGGAGGGTGGGATCAGGGGAGGGAGGGCAGATGGCTGGGGCGAGGGGGAGAGATGAAGGGAAAAGGCAGAAATCTTTACTTGAACAATAAAAAAAAAGTAACTGTGGAAATGATCACCCTGTTGGATAAAAAGTCCTTTTTTTCCCCATAAAATAAAAGACAAACTTTTATTTCTGCTAGTAATTTTTCATTTTCATGAGTAACTATTGATTTGGATATTTTGAGTATATCAGCTATTCCCCATATGGTATAATGTTGATTGTTCCCAATGTCTTGATTTGATTGCCATCAACTTTAAGTGGTCTAGCCAACTGTGAATCATTGTCGCAGAAGAAATTTCCCGGATGAAACTTCGCAAACCACTTTTGACATGTTTCATCAATCACAGCACCTTTTCCATACACTAGAAATCTTTTTTTTTGCGTTTCAGTTGCGTTTTTACCTTTCTCGAAATAATAAAACATAGTATGTTGGAAATGATGCTTATTTTCTTCCATCTTCAATATTAAAATGGCTACATGAATATTCACCAAGTTTTTTTAATGTACACTGATATGACAGCTGTCACAATACAATTTAACAATTTATTTGAATGAAGTTAAACACAACTAAGTACTACTAGAGCATTCTAATGGAAAAAAACCAAATGAACTTTTTGGTCAACCCAATAGAATGAGGTGATGTTTTGGTTTTGCCTTTATTCTCCAATTCCCCTTTTACCTTGTTAGTGTTTGGAATGCACTAAGAATATAAAGATGAACCATTCAGCATGACTTGAACGGCATGACCTTCAATACTCCATGTTCATGGTGAAGTCATGAAAAGTGCTTAAGACTGACTTAGTGTCTTTTCACTTGCTTGCATTTCCAGACCTGAATACACTTTTCATAGGAATTCACCACAACAGACATTTATACCCAGGCTTATCTGTGTTTCCCCTCATCTTTAAAGACTTAGATCCTTGTTCCCTTTTAGGAATGCGTTTCAGGGAAGCTCCACCTGGAAGTGAGTTTATTAGTAGTTTTCTGGTAGCAACTCTTGTTTTATTCAGCAAGGAGTTTTCAGTTAACTTTAGTCCCAGTGCTTATCTTTTAAGAGCAGACTTTCTCCTTATGTCTCCATTTAGAAGAAATCCTGTTTCTCTGCATATTGAGAATGTGCCCTGAGCAGGTTTATTTTAAGTGTCTTTGGAACAGGGCACATGAAAATTTGTGAAACTGATTTATTGCTGGATACAGATTACATTCATTTTAAGTCATACATTCTTAGGCTCAGAGTTCCTTTTATCATCTACACAGTATATTGTGTTGGGATGTCTAACACATCCCAACGAGAGGAAAAGAAGTGAACTATGCTTCTTCATATTTTACTTACATCTTGTATAATATTTTTAAGGGTATACAGTAGGCCAGGATATTAAATATAAACACACACCATATATAGGAACATAATTCTACTAAGTGTGTTGATTTTGATTTATTGCATGTCCATCTGTTTACCTTGGATTGGGCCCATAGTTTTGGAATTGAGCCTACAACCCTGAGAATTTAAGATCAAATTTTACTAAAAGACCTCTTTTTCTTGAGCTCTGTGTTCTACATTAAATATGAAGTCCATGATTATTAAGAGATAATTATAGATAATTAGATAGTTATAATTTGCTTATAATATGTTCTTTTCTGAGTATAGAATAAAGCTCATAGTTTTTTCATAGGGTTTACACCTGGTCCTTGTGACAGTCTATCACATACTTTCTGTTCTGGGGAATGCAGCATGTGGCCAATAGTTTACATGTTCCATCCTTTACTTATATTTTCAAATTCCTCTGGCTCTTGTTTTCTTGGTTTTAATAGACTGAATTGGTTTCAGGGATAGTGGTGCATAAACCTGAATATTAGGTAGGGGGAGGGATTAATTTAGAAGTATCTAGGCCCATGGCAGCTGATTTGCATGCTGAAACCTGAAAACGGCTAGCCTGTTCTGTTGTGAGGTGCCAGGTAAAGGCACCTTCAGCTTAGGCATGGGGGGCTGTGCTTACAGCTTGTTAGAGCACATGCCAAAGTCATCCTGTGCCATCTGCACAACCAGCCAGGCCTTTGTATTGGAGGCATGTGTTTTGGTTCAACACAAAATGTACGAGTCTGAGAGTCATTTTAATCATGTGATTTACGTACATCTTATGTAAGCAGGAAGTAAATCTGTTACATCGAAAAATTCCACAGTACCAGGGTAGGTACTGATTTCTGCCTTCAAATGCTGTTTATTCACAGATGTCACAAATTTTGTCTTTGTTGGATTTCCTTTCTGCTTTTAACTGCTTATTGCAGCTCTTCCCAAACTCGGTTCACATCACTCATTATTGTTCCAGCAGTTTTTTCATTGAGTCCCCAGGCCAAAAGTAACACCTATCAGCTCTGTTTATTAGGTACTTAGGGCCAAATAACTTAAGTACTTATATTCTAACAACTAGCAATTGAAAAATATGTTAATTTAAAGAAAAACATTTGTATTTTATTTTTTAATAACCATAACTCTCAGTAATAGAATGTGTGTGCGTATTGGCTTTTCCAATTTGGAATCAGGTTGCTCAAAGCCCTTTTCATTTTGTTCCACTTTGATTTTTGCCCAACTTTATATCATAGCAACTATCAAATGCCCAGTTTTACAAAGATACAACACCATCAAAAGGCATGTAGCACAATCTAATATTGAAACTACAGTTTCTGACAGATGTCAAGCATCATTGTGTTTTCCTTGAAAATGTAAAATATCCCATGATACCCCTCTTGAGTTTTATAGGGCACCTCAGCATACAGTTTGAATACTGCAGATTTGTTGCATGGTTTAATTTTTTTATTTAATAGTTGTAGGTGGTTTTATCTTTAAAAGTAATTTTAAGTCTTCATTCTATCCCTTTCTGAAATAGTGTGTGCTCCTTCAATTTCAGCAGAGTGGTTTCTTATAAGTTAATCGGTAGCTACATCTGAATGTTTTTTATTAAAGTTTATTTTTAACTATGTTATAGGTTATTAAATGCAACTCTTGAACCAAATTCCTAACAGAAAAAATAAGTGCCATGAAAGTAATTTTTTTTAAGCCCAGTGCTTATCTTTATTTTGTTCTCTCACCTAATCTTTGGTCTTGGCTTAATTTCCCTGTAGCTTCTCCATATACAACTTCAACTCCAAATATCAACAGTGTGAGAAATGCTGATTCAAGAGGATCCCTCATAAGCACAGATTCAGGGAACAGCCTTCCAGAAAGGAATAGTGAGAAAAGCAATTCCCTGGATAAGGTAAATTTTTTTTTACATAACTTGTGTTTCTTTTAATGAATAGATTTAGCCAAAAGTAAGTGTGCTTCATGTTCTAGTGTTCATTGTGTGACCTTAAAAATAAAAATTCAGCTAACCTGGGGTAGATAGTCAGGGTATTAACTAAGGGTGGAGCCCATTCCCTGAAACCCCCTGATTCTTGTTTCCAGAATTCCAGATCAGGGCAGGGTTTACAGTTTGAGTGGCAGGTTGAACAGCTAGGGAAATAAAAATGCCACTCATTTAAAATCCCTGTGTTCTGTCTGCTGGAAAACACCATTTATAACATAGCTATCCATACAAATGGGCATAGGGTCCAAAGCCAGTTCCAGAAAAGATTAATTGAGCACACAGATGATTCAGGGATAAAGCTTTATTTGAAATCATTCTGTTCTCACTGTGCCTCCAACCCTACTCCAACAAATCCTCATATTTAACCTTCTGTCTTAAAATAACTAAGGCTCAGATTATTTGGCACTTTGTGGGAATGGATAAGGCTTGGATTTAAACCTGGAACCATGACGTGCTGGTCTCACCTTGGCCACTGTTGTCCTAATTTATTTCAAGGTATAGGCAAGCACATGTACGAATAAACAGGTGAACCATTTAGGGATATATTCCTAGTACTCAGAAATATGGAAAACGTTCTTCCTCGGTACCAGGTTTGTCATCTTATCATGCTTTTCCATGGCTGGCATTGACATGATTATCCTTAACTGCCAGTTCTTTTGAGTTGCATGTATCCCAGTGTGGGTGTGTGTCATGACATGTTGAACTTTTCCCTTGACCCTGACATGCCTTCGTGTATAGAGGGAGAAGCTGCTCAGAAGGCACTCCGCTTGTGTCATACGCAGTGCTGACGAGGAGGAGAGCTGCCAGTCAGCCACGAAAAACCGGGTCACCGTGGATTTTTCCCTTCTAACAATTCCAACTTTGCCAGAGGAAACATTGCATGCTGCACCTTCCCTCCTGCTGCGGGAAGTGCTGAGTTCTCCTAGTGGCTCTGATGAAGTGCGTGAGCCCGGTGATGCATCTGCACCAGTTTTGCCACTAATTGCTCCTGTATTTGTTCCTCAAATACAAATATTCACAGATGTTACTAAACCTGTTTATTATATATTTTTTTCAATTGGCCTCTAATACCTTGAAGGAAAGATAATTTTTCCCTGATCTCAATTGAAAATATAACTTTAGATTTTTAAATCTTTTGTGTTTTTATCATGAGATAAGATTCTCGTTGTTGTTGTTTTTTTTAAGTTAACCTTTTGAATATGTGAACCTACTTTGTAGTGGCAAAACTGCCCTCACCCTGCACCCTGAGCTTTCTGATGTTTGCTGTGTTGAGCTAAGCTGATGATGGAATGATCTCATCAGTTAGGGTCTTTGGCAATGCTGTGCTGAGGTGTCCCTAGTTGTCTCTATAGGGCACCTGCCCATTGTTTTCACCCTACGATGTAACTGAATAACAGTGATTTAGCTCCAGGTTTTTGTGACTGGTACTCAGAAGTACCATAGATTTCATTTGCTGTTTCAGCCAGTGATGTTTTCCTGAGGATATGGTTGGTTCTGCTGTGCTTCTGAATCATCATTTCTGTGTTTGATCCCAGCACACATACTTTTCTGCATGAGGTATTATTTGACATTTCAGAACTAAGCTGGTAACTAAAACAATGGTTATCCAGTTTGAAAGGTTTGTGCCTTCTGGCTTGTCCCTTAGGAAAGTATGCACAGGAGACAAGCCAGAGCTTCTGTGGAACAGCTTGTGTATATTTGGTGAAGGTGTACTTATAGTTTATCTACAAATTATTTATACTTTCCAATTTGAATGACCAGACTCAATTCTAAGAATGTTTTTCTTCCAAGGGAGAAAGTGAAACTAATTTTCTTTTACCTGTTATTGAAGGAGAAAAATCCACCTCTATTTCCTTTTTTAGCACCAACAAAGTGGCACTTTGGGAAACTCTGTGGTCCGTTGTGACAAACTTGACCAATCTGAGATTAAGAGCCTGCTGATGTGTTTCCTCTACATCTTAAAAAGCATGTCTGATGGTAGGTAAAAGTAAAGATATCTGTTTTACTTTTCCTCATTTCAGTATTTGGTTTATTGTTTTCAAATTGCAATTGGTTGAAAGGCAAAAGGATTTAAAGGGGCTTTTCTCCCTTGTTTTAAAAACATGTTAATTTTCTAAATGAAGTAGAAATAAAAATTTTAATTTGGAAAAGTATCTTTATTAATTACTATAATCTAGAAAATGAGTTCTAAAATGTGAATGGGCCTATTTTCTAAATTTATATTAAACTGAGACCTACCATGTTAACTAAAGGAGGCAGACACAGATAAATAAAGTAGCTTTTGATTTTGTTTTAAATTTCATTTCTCTAAACAAACTTACTGATAACTTGCATAACTTTATTAGTCTATCTCTTGAATTAGAAAATACAGTGTTGAAGAACATCAGCATCTCTTGCATGTAGAGTATGTGACGTCCCTGGCTTTAACTGGAAGCAAAATGTTTTTTTTATTTTCTAATGGAAATGGTAGTACCATAGTAGATCAAGTTTCTGATTAAGGGTTTGACAACCACATTTTTTAATAGAAAGGACCACAATCATTAGTGCTTTATCAGTACCACATAAAGCTTGTAAACATCCATAACAGGATACTTCCAACTCTGGTTTTGTGATATAACCAGTCATGTGAAATTATGCCATGGTACAATTGTCTCATTTCCTATTTTGGTCAAAAATCTTGTCTTATTTTCCCTGCAAAAAATTAGAATGTGTACTGTGAGCTTTGTTAAGGTCAAATGAGTGAAGATGAACTCACCTTTGAAAACAAAATGCCATTTTTTGAGAACCTGAAGACCTCTTGTGCTGCCTGTGTCTGGAGGCAGTAGGTGTGGTCATTGAGCACTCTCGAAGGTATTTCTGGCTGCAAATAGTGTTTCTTTTATATTGAGTTTCCATTTTAGCAGCAAAACAGCCCAACCTTATGACTCAGATGTTAGGAGCAGCATACCTATCCTGAAAGTGCTTCAGGACCAGGTTATTTTAGTCTTCTGTCGATCTGTTACTTTAAAATACTTATTTACAAAAACGAACCAACAAACAGGATTTTCTTTGAATGATGATGACCAAATACATAAGGACTGGACACTTTTTCTGATATTTGGTTTATAAAATTGAAATTCTTTCCATTAAGTCAGAAGTTCTAAAGTCTACATTATGGTAGTTACTTAAAGCCAGCATTATGATCCTGTTTACTTTATTGAAATATTTTTTTAGTATTTTAAGTTTCTAATAATAAATATGATTTATAACTAGAACATAATTGCTTTTTAAAGACAAATATCAGGAATTTTACATCCAGGTGAAAGTTATCCTTTAAAGTCAGCCCTTCAGAAGGTTGTGCCCATATTTTAAGACTACAGCAACCTCTTCAAAAGAGTTTTGTAACTTTTAAAAAATTACCTGAACTTATTAATTTCTTTCCTTCGTAATTAGAATTTTTTGTTTGTCATGTTTAAGAAATCTTTGCCTATCCCCAAGATCATGAAGATATTTTCCTATATTTTCTTTAAAGGTTATGTTATTTACATTTTCACATTTAAATCCTACTATATACCTAGAATGGATTTTTGTGCATGGAATGGGGCGGAGAAGTTGCCTTCAGCCTAGTTTACTGGGCAGATGCCAGACTTGATTGTGTAACTCTGTGGCTACCTTTTCCTTTATCCCATATTTAATGAGCACTTTCTATACACTAGGCCTTTACCCTCTGTGCCTCACTTCTTCATAGAGAATAGCTCTGTTTTTCCCCTTGTCACAGCCAAGTAGCCTGAACTCCAAGTAAGGAAAGGCCAACTTGGTGCCTCTCAGATGGCTGCTGGCTGGCTGGATCTATCTGGCCTGGGCTGGGGTGACCACAGATGTCATCTGTAATTGACCCAGAGAGGCCCACCAGCATTCATTTGCTCCCTGGGATCTCAGCACACCTGGATGACCAGCCTCAAGTAACCCTAGTTTGTCCATTTGGAATCTAAACTCTGAGTCCCTAAAAAATGGAAAGTTCCCTGAACCACCCTTTTTAGTGGCCTACTAGGCTAAATGTGGCTTTAAAAATCAGGTGTACTTCATTTAAATCACCATTCCACCATGATTCTTTAGGTTGTTAACTTGGAGAATTACTTAACTTCCCTGAGCCTTGAGTAGCTTCTCTGTAAATTGAAACTCTCTGCTACTGATTTTGGTGAGAATTCAATGGCATGCTGTATGTGACATCATGAGACCACCTAGTACAGTGCCCACACATAGCAGATTCTTGTTATATACCCCTTGGCTTCCCCGTATGTCACCATTCTTGACAGCATAGAGTAAAAGTTTCTAGCTGTGTATCTTCACAAGCCAGAAGCACCTCTGCAGCCACCTTCTCACTCAGCCTCAGGCCCCCAAAGTCAATGACTTTTTCTCTGATAGAAATCTCTTTGCCTGTTTCTCAACCTCAATGTAAAATATTATATGAATACAAAAATGTTTATGAAGTGATAACAGAGTTGTGCAGTGTGCTAAATGGTAAAGGGTCATACACAGAACATTCTTCCTATAAATAAATTTGTAGGATTTGCTTTAACTACAAATATGCCATGTCCTCTTGATGAAGAGCAAGCGTGAATTTTTCATCATGTGGGGAAACAGGCAGTCCCACACTCCTTATATGGAGAGCTATTTGACCTTATCTGTGAAAATTTTAAATGTACATACCATTTGACACAACTATTTCACTTCAAGAATTTATCCTCTAGATGTAGTTGGATAGGTGTGCAAAGACCCATGTAAAAGGATGTTCATCAAAGCATAATTCATAATAGCAAAAGATTAGGGGTAAAACAAGGAAATATCTATCAGTAAGGGACTGACTACCGGTAAATAATAGTGCATCCATGGTTTGTTTCATGGAGTGGAATATTATGTAGCTTGAAAAAGATTGAGAGAGAGCTAAGCTGCATTGTTGAATTAAAACTCAGAGTGCAAAACAGTGTGTATAGTATGCATGCTTCCATTTTGGAGTATGTGCATGTGTGTGTGCGTGTGTGTCAGGAAGGGAGTAATTATGCACATGCAAGACTTTTCAACAGATTTCCTACTGGTGAGGGATTCTGTAGTAGGTAAAGAGAGAACCTGACTTTAAATTTTATGCCCACTTTTATTCTTGGAATATTCTAGTCCACTTAAGAGCACATTATATATGTTAAATACGTATTATATAGCATTAGATATTGTATGATAAAATTAAAGTTCAAGTGTTCAAATGTAGCTTCTTTAAATTGAATAAGACCATTGTATTTGTTATCCACTGTAGATTGGTCACTGTAGTTTGTCCTTTCATTAGCTATAAGAGGGAGCAGGGTTTGGAGGACTACACTGTAAGATCTCATGTTATAATGTACAGAAGACACATCATGGTTCTAACCAGATAAATGTTTACTTTCTAGATGCTTTGTTTACATATTGGAACAAGGCTTCAACATCTGAACTTATGGATTTTTTTACAATATCTGAGTGAGTAGTTTTGTTTTGCTAATTGCCTCTTGATTTTTCTTGGCTAGTCAAGAGATATGAAGAATACTATGTGGTTGAACCAGGAAGGTAGCATATTCAGATCCATACCTACTCTTAAGTTGTTTTTCCTGGGCCAGCACCTGCTCTCAGGAGCTTGTGACTTAGCAGTCAGTGACCAACCTTAAATTGTTAGATATATGGTTGTTATAAGAGGTAACTACTTATGTATATAAGCCATTTTAATAAAATAACAGAAAATGTATTAGCTGAATTGGGTGGATCCTGCATTCCTAAGTTAAATCTAACTTAACTCAAGTAGATGCAGAAACTGAGATGGAAAAATTGCTATAATAAGTAAAATTTTACCTGTTACCTATATTATCTTATTTTATCCCTTCAGTTTAACTTTCTTATTTCCTTTAAGCTCATTGGTTTTGGAATCCACAATTTATTACCCAAAACTGCTGGGGCCAGATGATTTTCCAAATTCAGAATTTTTTGGATTTTTGAAAAATATACATATTAAGTAAACTCCATAAGACCCCAGCAGGTTCTCAGGCAACACCCCATAGTCAAACACATTATTGTTTCTGCAGTAAAAAAATTATTTCTGGAGTACTATGATTATTCACAGTCATTGGGTAAGTCATAACTATAAGTAGCTTTATGTTTGTTAGTGGGGTCATCATTTGCTGCAAATGTATTTGCACAAACTCAGGTGAAAACCTGTGGTGTTCTGAGCTTTGTGCGTTCAGTTCATAGTCTCATGACTGTTCTCTCTGCTGAGTTAAGGTGGGAGTTGTCACACGGTAAGGTGAGATTCAGCATCAGAAGAACTTACTGGACATTATTTTAACTGCCTCTTATTAAATATATGCTGGGTTTGTTTGTTTTTTTACCAAAAAAAGAAATCAATGTTATGGATACTCTAAAACAAAACAGAAAACTACATACTTGGGACCAGTCTTTTTACTTAAGCCAAAAGAGAGAGTTCCTTATTAAATAGATTTGAATGAAGTTGAATAAGCAACTCAGAATAATGCAGCAGTGCATATGGTTTCCATCGTGGTTTCCAAGGCAAACTGCCTAGAGTCAATGTCTAAACCCTGAGTGGATGGACAGTCCTATGGTTCCTAGGCCTTTCTTCTGTGTGGCTTTAACTGCCCACCACAGTACTGACAAGCACATAATATGGGGCCTCCTTTGCACATAAGTAATTTTCTCTTGGTGTAGAGGGGCCTTCCAGAGAATTTCAGAAAACCAGAAAAGGCTAGTAAGAATTTATTGAATGTTTCATTTTATTATTCATGGGTTTATATAAAATAATACATTGAAAATAATTTTATCTTCATGTTTCTCTAATAACCCTTCATCCTGTCTGCAGAGTCTGCTTGCACCAGTTCCAGTACATGGGAAAGCGCTATATAGCCAGGTACTGTGGGGATTTTATCTTAAAGTGTTGTGTCATTTTCTGTATTACTTGGATCTAAATGTGGGGGAATTGTCATCTGTGGTGATTGGCAGTTGGAATTCTCATAAACAGCCATGAAGACAGTTGGCAGGTCTTTGGATTGCTACCATAAAATCTGTTAGCATCTTTTGCCTACAATCCTGTCTTTTTTGTCTCATGCATATCTGTTGAAAGATCTTCCTCTCGCTACCCTTCTACCCTTGCTTCTAAATTCTCCCTCATGATCTGTTCCTTCTGTCTTCTCTTTCTCTTCTTTTCCTCTTGATGTGTCTTCTGGCTCTTTTCTCCTTTCCCAATTATTTATCTTTCCCTATTTTACTTTGAAAGTTCATTTTTACCCATTTTACCTCCCAGCTACAGAGATACTAATTTCTTATCTAACCATTTTTCTTCTTCCTTAATGAAAGGATGTTTTTAGTCCATCTCAAGTTTGGACTTACACAAAACCTCTTAAAATTTAGCTTTTTCTCCTTCACTTCTAAGTAATCTATCCATGCCCTTTGTTTTTATCTAACCAGAACTCTTTGTGGAGTATCATAAATCCACACTGCCCTGTCCCACAATATACTCTTGATCATCTGCATTAAGTTTGAGGAGAGTTAAAAACTCATTGCTGACGGGCACCCAAGCAGCTCCTTCTTTGGAGGTATTTCCCCAGAGCATATCTTGTCCTCACCACATACCTACTCCTGCTCTGTAGCCATGTAGTGTGTCTGTATTTGTTTTTTTCCATGTTGTGTATTCCGTGATAATGTATTTATGGGGTCCTGGTCTAGATATATTTTTCTAATGCTATTGTTTTTAATAGTGTAATTATAAGTAAACATTGGTTTTAAGAAAAACTTTAGTTGTAATTGAGATTTTTCTCTATAATTTTGTTTTATAGTAATGAAATACGAAAGATTTTTAATACACTTTCTGTTTGAATGTGAAGATTTTGCTTTTTATGTTAATATCGTTCTTTTCTTGGGCTATTTGAGAAATTGTCAGAATTATATTTTATGTTAAATAAAAGTATATGTTTTCTTTTAAAAAGAGCAAATTTAGAAAGACTGTTTTATGCTTTCCTCCTATTAATATTTTCTATTTTTAATTGAAATGTGGTAGCACTTAAAGTTCTCTGATCTTAATTTTTTTTATTTTCATCAGTAATTTTTACATTTGAGATTTTGAGTGCCAAATACAACTATACACAAGGTATCCTTATAGGATATATTTGCTTTGACTTTGTCTTGTGAAGATGGGCAAACAGTGTGTTTGTAATAGAAACACACTGAACTGGGCAACTTTATACCCTTCTTACAGTAATTGTCACCTACATCACAAGATGGCATTTGGAAAATGTGCAAAGTAGAATAAAATGCCACAGAGCTGAACATGGTATATGTGGGAGGCTGAAATTCTCTGCTCCAACAAAATATTTTAAAATTGGGTTTTGTGAAACTTAACTCATTTTTTAATGACTACATATTTAATTTTTTTAAAGAAAATCTTCCATCTTTATAAGTACCTTATATGTATTTGCACACAAAACTATACAACCTTTGACCATCTTAAAAATAGATGAGTATAGGAAAGTGGGAGTAGAGAGTGATGTTTCTTTGTTATGTGCGCTATGGAAAGTCACACCATACTTTATAGAAAATTGTCATGGTCTCTGCTGCATGTGAAAAAGATTCTGAATGATAATTCAAACATTGTCAGAGTTTACCATTTATAATGGTTCAGTTTTATGAATACTGCGCCTTCTCATTGTGTCACTTTAAAAACAGCCAGCAGCATGTTACCGGATGATATTTCATGCATGCCCTATTCTACTCCACACAATAAATAACTCAAGGAGGAGGTGGTTGGCCAAGGGATGGGGACAGGTGTTTTTCCAGCACTGGCCTCGTTTTTCCTCTGCTCTGGTGGTGGTACAGATAGGAAGTTAGCTGTTTGATTGCTAACCCAGATCACTTTTCTATTTTCTTTACTTGACTGCTGACAAGTTTAACAAAGTGTATGGCTCTTCTCCTTCCTGCTTGGGTAAGAATAAAGGTGCTAAAACCACTTCATATAATCCCTTCCATTGCATGTTTGTTTTGTTTCTTCCAAAGCATTATTTTAATTAAAATTTTTTTTTGCTCTTTAATAACATATAATTCAAAAAGATGTGTGGTGTTTTGGCAGTTGTCAAAATGCTAACTTAAGCACCACATTGGACTGATGCTCAAATTCTTTTTTAAGTGGCATCTCTAAAGTATTTTCTAAACCTGAAAAGTTCTCTGCTTTGGCTTCATCTTTGCTTCTGTGTCATTGCCAGTGCTTTGCTGCCTGTATGTCTCTGGCTCACAGACAGGCTTCTATGCTGGGTCCTCATGTGGCCAGTCTCCTCTCTGCTCTGTCCTCTCCTTACTAATGCTTCCTGTTTCTCTGCAGTGTAACAAGTCTAACTTTTGCTTCTATTCCATTTCACTCATGTTGCAGGAACCAGGAAGGGTTGGGACCCATAGTTCATGATCGAAAGTCTCAGACATTGCCTGTTTCCCATATCAGAACAGGAATGATGCATGCCAGATTGCAGCAGCTGGGCAGCCTGGATAACTCTCTCACTTTTAACCACAGTAAGTCCCATGACATACCATCGTAACAGCCAGCCATCTCATGTGACATCTCAGAGGGGAGAGCCCCAAGCCACACCACACCACTTCACCAACTTGACTTTTCTTCCAGCTTACATCAAGTAGGATGAAGAGCTCGTGGCGCAGTTCCCCTTCCTTGGAGGAGAATGACATAATGTGGACCATAGTCAACTACAATACCAGACCTAAAGTGTTAGACCTTTTGTCCCAACTTCTCTGCTTGGTATTTTTAAAACAAAATTTGGCAAGTTCAATCAGTCTCTGATATTTTTAATGTAATATTTGGATTCATTGCCTGGTGCCAAAATTCTCATTGATTTTTCCCTTGCTACTTCTGAGAACATCTGGGACAGACTTCTTCGCCCTGATCCCGTGCATGTAATTGACCATAGTCCATATTCTGACATTCAAGCTTAGAATGTATGTTAAACTGTTGTGAAAACGTAAAGCCCATGAATTAATTTGTGAGGGTGTGGAAAAGCCAATAACAAAGTGACTTTTTCTGTGTTTTCAGTGTGAGAAAGATATCAAGTGTGCTTGGAATTTCTGTAGACAATGGTAAGATTTAATCAGGTTGAAGTCTGCTTTATGAGGCTGCTTCACTTGCAAATCGAGACCTTTTGTTCATCTTGCCTTCCTAACTTTGGTGCTTTCTAACTTCACAGTAGAGATTCTGCCAAAATGTGGGTGCATATTTTTAATAGACTTTTTTCAGTCACCAGAGGGGATGTGGCATCATGTGCTGTTCCTAAAATCTAAGTGTTTCATCTTCTTAAGGGTTTCTCAAAGCAGAAAAGCTAAAAGATATCAACCATGCAGCACTTTGAAAACTAATGTGATCATATATGATAAATACCATTTCTGTTGGTGGTGTGTTCTCTAATTGTTCCACCTTTTCTCCAAGCATGACATAGTAGTTATTGTTTTGTCTAGACAATTAGTCGTTTTCATTGTAAGTAATGTCTTTACTACATGATTATTAATATCTCCTCATCATTTCTAATCATAAGGACTCCATTCACTGTGATTTCTATACCTCTTTCTTAATGTAGGCCAAGAGTAAAGACAATATTCCCATCACATTAAGTTAGTAATACAGTTGACACTTGAACAACACAGGCACTAGGACCGCCAACCACCCTTGCAGTAAGAAATTCACATGTAACTTCTGACCCCAAAATTTAACTACTAATAGCCCATGGTTGACTGGAAGCCTTATCAGTAACACAAACAGTTGATTAATGAATGTTTTTGTATGTTATGTGTATTATATACTGTATTCTTGCAGTAGGTTATCTAGAAAAAGGAAATGTTATCCATATTAAAATCATAAGCAAAGAAAAATACATTTACAGTACTTATTGAAAAAAAATCTGCCTATAAGTGAACCCACACATTTCAAACCCATATTATTCAAGGGTCACCTGTAGTTCAGGATAAGAAAGCTGAGGAATCAAAACACAACAGCTGCTCATTCTTCCACCCCAACAACAGTAAATGTAATGGGCATAGTCTCTCTTTATAAAATCCAGGATTAATTTAAATCAGTATGATGTCTGCCACATACTGAATTGGTAACTTGCAAATGCTAGTTCTGAGCTGTATACTTAGCTGTAAAGTGTATATTAGTGACACATCTAAGGCTAATATACTTGATTTTTCAACATCTTCTCTATTAGGGCTTTTTCTAGTTCTGCAGACAAGGGGTTGAAACAAACAAAACAAGGAGTTTTGTTATTTTTAGTTTTCATTCCCTGATTAACAAACAGAAATTAAAGTCCCACTAAGCTGCAGGACCTGCTACATTGCCTTAGCCCAGATAATTTGTAACACAGGAACTGTCTCACTGTCAATTGACACAAATACTTAAAGAACTTAAAAAAAATAAGTAGACTGAGGCCACACCTCCAAAGATAATTATTTAGGAAACACAGAAAACAAAGAAAAATAAAATAAATGATCAACAGCCAAATTAATAACTGTAATCCACTAAGATATGCAGCAGCCCCTCCCACTGCAAATAGATTTTTGTGGTGGTGGTTTAAATTGGAAGAGAGAAGCAGCTGGCTGTGTTCCACTGCCAAAAACCATATTGTTTACATGGTTGATTTCCATTCTGTATTCTTGCTACCTACACAGAGAACCCATCCTTCTTGCCTTTCTCCTCCTTCATCCTGGAGGTTTTTTTTTTCTTTAGTAAGTTTTCTGTGGCACTATCCTCAATCAAAGTTTCTCCTTCTGCCTTCCCTGTAAACAGTACATAGCTGTTTCTTTTAGCCTTCTCCTGTGTTGCTACAATTCCTGACCATTCCACATTGGTCTTGATGTCTTGTAGTCCTTGCATCTTCCCCTAGAACTTACAGCTCTAATTATACAGCTCTAATTCTCATTATGTGTATTTGGGTGGCTTCGGCCCTTCCCTTTGTTAGCATTTGGGCTTCAAATCGTCAACTCAGCCAAAAACCACAGGGAAAGGAGTGTATACTGTGTGTATGCATGTATGTGTATGATCATATATATGTATTTGTACACACATGATTGTTTACATCTGTATGTAGGCATTTATGGGAGACTTATAGCCATATATGTCTCTTTTAAAAAAATTCCTATTTAACTATGAATACAATACCTTCTGTTAGGTCAAACCAATATGACATAGATCCAATATATGAGATATTTGCTGGGATGCCAGACTCTAAAATGAATTTATTTTTGAGAAGACTCAAAATAGGAAGAGTCCCCTACATTTTTTATTTTCTCTTCTGTCCCAGTAGGAAAGGCTTTGTCAGACCTCATCTTGACCAGCAGGGAGCAGCAGAGGACTGTAAGGAACTTAATCCAATATGTGCTAAACTGTATCATCTCCATCACCCTTTAACAGAACATGGGAAAAGACATCATATACACTACACAGGGTACTCTAGCAGGGACTTATCTATACTCTCAGATTTTAATAGGAAATAATGAAAATGACAATTCTCCCCATGGCCAATAGTTTTTATCCATTTCAAAAACACTCACATGGTAGAGGCTTGTTGTTTGGGTCATTACCCAGAAATTATATGAAAAGTAAATGTTTAAAACATTAAGACAATGACTTATTTACTGTAAAGTGCACTCACTGTGTATCATTAGAAGAGATCTGTGCCAAGTGACACATTGAGAAATAGCTACATGCAGAATATTTTATATAAACCAAGTTATGAGGGGGAAACTATGTGAAACATGTTTGCAAATAAGTGATACATTCCCAAAAAATATAACATAACACTTTGTATTATTTTGATGTTATGCATTATCTAGGAATATATTAAATTAATTTGTATAGTAATTCATATTTCCCACTGGTGTGAGAAAAACCAGCCAAGAGGTAAATATGCTTGAAGAAAACCTGTATTTCATATAATTCAGTATAAGAGTTTAAGATCACTGGATTAAGTTGCAGAGAATTAGATTTCAGGTCAACTCGGGGAGTCATTTTCTACCTGAAATGCCCATTAGATAGTGAAGGCACGTGCAGCTAGAGTTGTGAAAACAGAGACTGGGCAAGGACCCAGTGGGGCTATTATCTGGTTCGCTGACACATGGTATAAGGAGTTGGAAGAGATGGCTTGTACAATCCCATCTCACTCTGAAATTCTTTCATGACTATGAATCAAGAGTAAGAAAGTTAATATAGGTGATAATTAAATTCCTTATTGTACATACTACTGAATTAATATGAAAAATGTAGAGAATGCATGTATTCTCTGAAGTAAAATTAATATTTTTCAAAAGTTTAAGCATGCACAATATATATTTTAAAATAGGTGAAGTAGGCTTGTAGCTTTAAATGTCTGTACTCAAATAGTAATTAAAAATGCTGTAAAGCCACGTTTCCTTGATTCTCAGACATGTTTCCTTGTTTAGAAATAATACTTTTGCACATTCGCCAGTATTTCCAAAATCAGGTAAATTATGTGGGGACTTTCAGTGTATAAGCCACCTTATCTATAATAATCACCTGGGTACACTTTGCCAGTAAGTTATCTAGAAATAGAAAGGGCACCAATAAAGTTAATAAAAATTAAATTTAAAATGATAACTTTTACAAAATAATTGTAACTTAGTGCATTTGGGGGAATACATCAATGAGACAACGTGCCACTTATCTTTAGTGTGATTACTACTTTCTGTAGAATTTAACTCTAAATGTAAATATTAACATATCATTTGAATATTATATCTCCACCTTTAAAGAAAAGAGAAAGAAAGGGCAATTTCACGCAGAGAAAAAATTAAAAGAATCACCAAAGCAAGTTCATTGTTATAATTTAACCCAGACTCTAAAACTTTAAATTTGGTGTAAATGGCCACCCTCAGTAAAGGGTCCTCCCGCCTGTGTGATAGTTTTCGTTGGTCTAATAAAAAGTATGGTTTTTTGCCCTTTGCTCCATTTTGTGTTCACTGTAACAATAATCATAAATCTGTTTTCCTCTTTCGTTGTCTCTGTATCTTACCAAACAAATCTCACTGAATGAGGAAATGCCTTGACTTACAAAGGCAGTACAATGAATATTAGTACCAAAAATATCCATCTTTCTTTCCTCTAAGAGATTTTTTTTACCAAAAAAGCTGAAATAAAAAGAAGTAGAACTAGCATGATGCCAAATGTGTTATGTGCATCACTAAAATATGTAGCATTCATTATGTACCCTTGGTCACAAGGACTCTGCCACATGCACATGGACTATGTACATGGACTCTGTCACAATCTGAAAACTCACAGTCCACAAACACAGAGCTTCAGAACCACCTTTTAAAAGCCAAACAAAATTATATGAAAACACATGATAGGGTTCTTATCATATTTTAAAAAGCAACTGACAAAAACAGCTTTTTTGTAGCCTTTTAAAAATCCTCCTGTAATTGACATTTATTAGTCAAAATAGACAGATTCATACTAATTACTTTCTTTTGTCCTAATAATAGGTAGTATGATGCAGTGACCCAAATAAGAAATTTGGAGCGTAGTTTCTTTTTTTTCCCACTTCTGGCCTCAAGAAAATTTTCTGTGTTTTCTGTACTTCATTTTCATGATCTGTGTACAAAATGTCCTCCTCTCTGGAGTATTATGAAAATTACCTGCATAGTAAGTGTTGATTTGTTTTTGCTCCTTGGAGAAAGACATTACATGATGTTTTATTATAATGCCATCTTTCTTTGTAATCTAGATCAATACTGTAACATCTTTGCATCCCTATATATATTTTGCTAATGCATACTGTTTCATAACTTCACATTTCAAATTGTATGTCAAGCTACATTTTTCTTAGTACTAAGTTGATTTTACAGCCACATAAGAAGATACCAGTTTGTACTTAAATTATGATACTTCAGGTTCTTTCCTTTTCTTAAATATTTCTTTTGACATACTGGCTTTTGTGCTTTTATTAAAGCAAGTAGAATATTATTAGCAGTACAGTCAACTCTTGATTATCATTCATTATTGTAGGTGATATTACAGCTCTACATTATTGACTTAAGACTTACCTGGCATGTAGCATCATGTACAAGGCACTGTTTTAGGAGCTTCACAAATATTAGTGATTTAATACTCAATACAGCCTCTGAGATAGATACTATTATTATTCCCTTTCTCCAGATGAGGAAACTGAGGTATAAAGAGGTCAAATGACTTGCCCTCGGTCACACAGCTAGTAGGTGGCCAGGCTGGATTCAATGACCAGCAGTGCGACCCTTGGCTCGTCTTCTTAACCCCTGTGCTGTGCTGCTGCCTCTTTCTGTGTGGGAAGCTTTGGAAATCTCAACCTGCTTCACCACTCTCACCATCCTAACAGCTTGGCCAAGTGGCTAGATTGAGTGACTCCTGTCCAGGTGCCTCCTAGCTCCCTGTTTACTAACTGTGTGACTTAAGATAAGTTGTTTAGTCTTTCTGTGCCTCTATTTCCTCATCTGTGAAGAGGGTCTAATAATGTACATATTTCATAGGGCTGTTGAGGGTTTAAATGAAGTAAAACATGTAAAGTTCTTAGAATTATGGCTGGCACATAGCTAGCACACAATAAATGTTTGCTGCAATTACTTTCCTTCTAAGGTTAAAAAATAATCATAATATGAATGGAAACCTTATTAACTACCAACCCCTCCCCCCCAATAAAAGTAAGCCTTCTATTAATAATCAAAAGTTGACTGTGACTCTACTACGCTGCCAGCCTCTCTGTCTGCAGCCACTTGGCAGTAACCTGGTGTTATAATTCATGCAGGCTATGGCCACTCGGATGCAGATGTTCTTCACCAGTCATTACTTGAAGCCAACATTGCTACTGAGGTGTGCCTCACGGTTCTGGATACTCTCTCTCTATTTACATTGGCATTTAAGGTTAGTATTGAACATCTGTTCATGGTTAGAGCTTTACCTTTTGAATTCATCCTGCTTTTTCAGCTGAGCCAGCAAGAACTTTTCGTGTTTTCTTTTTACTATGGCAATTGTTTTTGCCCCCATAAGGAAACCATTATTCCTTAAATTTCCTTAATGAAATTACCTAACAGTTACCAACTTACATTCCCTGAAATATAAGAAAGCTTAACAGGTCAGGGTGAGCCACAGGCATGTAAGTGGTGAAAACAGTTTCTCAGGGCGGTTAACTCTTGGCTAGAAGACAGTATTTAACTGGAAAAAAAAGGCTTTGTTATGCCCTCAAGGGTGACAAATATGAAAATATAATCAGGTATTTCTGCCTCTACTCTCTTTAAACATGTCTAAATGTGGTAGCAATTGAAATATATATATTTATCCATAGAGAAGCATTAAGTACAAACACATTCACCTTCTTAAATTTTTAAAAATCTGTTATTAAATTAAATGGTAGAAGCATTTTAGGGATAGAAAATAAAAGTTGTTTTGGTCTAATTTAGCTTTTAGGAGATATTCAAGTAGGTAGAGATGGCCTTTTTAGGCACTCCCTTGTTTTTAGGAACCTAATACTTCCTATTCTTGATAAATGATTTCCTCCATTTCTAGCATAGAAAGAGAAATTGAATGAATATTAATATGCTATGAATATTGAAACAGTAAACATAACCTAAGTCACTCTCTGCTAATAAAGCACTAATCTCCACTAATAAAGCACATCTCTTTATTAGACTAAAAATATTTACCCTGGTCTCATGTCACTTTATTATAATATACCTTTATTCTTCATAGAAGCCAAGCTATACTCATGTGCCCTGAACTATTATTACTAGGAACCTGCTGAGAGACAAGGAAATACAGATCCTAATACAGTGAGTGTGAGGGCAGCAGTGTCCTACTGCAAAGAGTCACTGTTCTGGTGAAACTGAGTGTGGTTCCCAGGCTCCCAGAACTGCAGACCCTGGGAACTTGTTATAAACACCAGTTCTCAGGACCTACCCCAGACGGACTAAATCAAACTCAGGATGAGGTCTGAATACTGTTGCTCTACTGGAACCGCGTTTGGAACGCCTTTCTGTGTTCTTTTGGATATTTTTAGTTAAAAATGCTTATGTAAATAGGCAGTCAAGTTTTTGGTTTGTTTGTTTGTTTTTAATTGTTGTTCAAGTACAGTTTTCTGCTCTTTACCCCCATTCCAGCCCACCTGGCAATCAAGTTTTTCTTTTTTTCTTTCTTTTTTTTTTTTTTAAGATTTTATTTATTTATTTTTGGGGAGGGAAGGGAGGGAGAGAGAGAGAGAGAAACATTAATGTGCAGTTCCTGGGGGTTATGGCCTGCAACCCAGGAATGTACCCTGGCTGGGAATCGAACCTGGGACACTTTGGTTCCCAGCCCGTGCTCAATCCACTGAGCTACGCCAGCCAGGGCTCGCAGTCAAGTTTTTCATGTGAGTAGTTGCACCTGCATCACTGCTAACCATGAATCCTTAAGTTCAGGACAGTAGTCACAACACTTTTCCTCTACTCTCTGGCGGGCCTCACTGTGTAACTGAGCAGGAAGCCCTGGAGCTACAAGGCAGTTGCAGACCTGGCCTGACAGATGGGGGAAGGGCACATGCAGCACAGGCATGGTTTGGCAGTACCATGAGAATAGTGATAGTTTCCTTACTAAACAGCCTCTAGTTCTTATCCACCCCCCTTTAAATTGTTTGCTTCATAGTAAAGAAGAGTAATGGTCAGAGTTCCTAGATATTCAAATGACTGGCCAGCAAATAGGTTCTGACTTTTGAGAGAGAAACATCTGATAAACTGGTTGTAACATTTATTAGCTGAATATCTTTAGGAAGATTACTTCCTTCATGTCTCCAGACCTAAGATTTCTCATTTGTAAGATTGGAAGAATAGTATCTGCCTCACATTTAAGTGAAATGACCCTTGAAAGGGCCTACCACCAGCTATAATACACATGGGAGACAGCCATGTATACAGATATACCATAGGTTTAAGTTCGAACTCCACCATTAGCCAGATTTTAAGCCTTGGGCAGGTCAACCTGACATCTCTAAGCCCTGATTTCCTTATGTAGAACATGGCAATTATGCCTGCTGTGTCATGGATTGATTCTGTGTCAAAGTTTATATGCCTGTGTGCAAAAATTGTTTCAAGTTTAACACCCCTACCCCATTAAAAAGTGGAAGATGGGCAAATGTTATGGCATCAACGGAAGTCACACAAAGCTGTGGGCTCACCTATCCCGGATTCACAGGTTCATGACACTTACTGGCACAGCAGCCACTGGGATCTTTGCAAATTTTTAGTCAGCTGAGGCATCAGTTGGAGCATATCAGAAAAATTAAATTATAACATTGATTTAGCTGACATAATTGTTTGCAGAAAAATCATCTTCCACAGATATTGCCCCATCATTTCTGAGTTTCTTAATTTTTATATGTTAATTTTCTTATATGTTTCTTAACATATAAGAAGTTACCAAAGGCAATCAGAAATTGCATTCTTAATGAGTGAAAACATTTGAAAAAACTTAATCCCTGAATTCTGACTGTTATTATTATAGTAACTTCCTACTATTTATTGAGCACCTTCCAAGGCTCAAGCATGCATCTTCATGACAGTCTGGCCTAGTAGATATCCTTACCTCTCATGTTGTCGACGAGAAGATAGAGACTGGGACAGGTTACAAAATTTGCCCAAGATCACTATATAACTGGCCTATCAAAGCCCTTGTTCTCCGTTAAGGAGGGTGTGTGTGTGTGTGTGTGTGTGTTTGTGTGTGTGTGTGTGTGAAGGTAGTTGAACAGTCTCTCATAGGAGAAAAAAAAGAAAATTACCAAGTACTCAGCAGATGCTGGTACCAGGCTAGGCATTTTCACATATGTTACCTCATTTAATAAATTAAGGTTGTGTTTGTTAACCAAGATAGTAACATTCAGAAAAATACAGTTCTTCTCTGGCTGTTTTCTAATGCCTATCAACATCACCCCAAAACAATGCTGGCCTTTAAATAGCTGATAATATTTTTAATGTGTCCACAAATTTAACCTGAAAATGTATTTTTAGAAATACCATGCAGTGCCTTTTCTTGATTTGAGCTGTGTGGTGAGAACCAGGACATGATGATAAAGAGCTAGGAATGACCAGAGTGAGGAGCACTCGGATACTTGGGGTCTTCCTAAGGAGCTTGGGATCTGATTTATACAACCATGAGCCTTGTCTGCAAAGACACATGAGGTTTGGGTCATCTTAGCAATGGGTGAGCATCTACAACTGAAAGAGCTCTTCTTAAACTAGACTTGTAGCGTTATTTTTAAATTAGTGCCTAAATAAAAATAAATGCCATATGCCTAAGAAACATGTACCTGTCTTGAATAGTGTAGTTCCAGATATCTTACTTTGGCACCCAAGATTTAAGTTTTTCTTTTGTTCTTGGATCTTTAAAAATTACTTATAATGTGTGCTTTTCTCTGAAAGACCCATTTCCTGAGGAGGCCATGTTCAGCAGTCAAAACTGAATCCACATCAGACAATTCCTGAGAGTTATATGTAACCTGTTCTCTATCTTATTGGTTGAAATATCATACCTTTAATATTATTCTGTCTTAATTTCCTGAATGAAATTCTTCCATACTCAGTAAAAGTCTATAAAGAGCCCTGGCTGGTGTGATTCAGAGGGTTGAGTGCCAGCCTGTGAACTGAAAGGTCGCCGGTTCAATTCCCAGTCAGGGCATGTGCCTGGGTTGTCAGCCAGGTCCCCAGTTGGGGGAGTGCAAGAGGCAACTAATTGATGTATGTATATATCTCACATTGATGTTTCTCTCCATGTCTTCTTCTTTTCCCCTCTCTCTAAAGATAAATAAAAAAATTAAAAAGTATCCCTTCCTTTCAAAAAAAGTCTATAAAGAAAAAAAGTGGAAATAATGAACACTCCATTGTTACCTGTGGTTATTTCTGAGTGCAAAAGTGAAGGGTGATTTTTGTTTTTCTTTTTTCCCCCTGTGAGCCTTAGTGAATGTTTAAAAGTTTTTTTATGTTTAGTGTCTATGACTTTCTAATTAATGAGAGAGAGAGAGACACACACACACACACAGACACAGGGAGAGAGCAAATTGATTAGAAAATTAAGGAAATCAGTTGGTAAATTAGGATGCGCCCAGTATTAAAGGTCCTTTACCCCTTTAAATGAGAGCTTATTTATATCTCAGTGTAAGTGAGTGCTAACTCCATTCTTGCAAGCAGATTTTGGGATCGGAGCCTAAGAGGCTAAGTCCTGAAAATGAGAAGCAAAACCTTGCCAGAGAGGTGGAAGGAAAAAGAATTCAATTCCAGAGGGAAGAACTTAAGAGACAGGTCAATTCAGATAGCAGGACGAGGGGTTCAAAATTTTGTGAACCGTGTCTTCTGGATCTCACCAGCAAAGAGCTCTAAGAAAAATAAAAGCTTACATCCAGATTCACCCAAACCTTAATCCATTCATAATTAGGAAGGACTGTGTTTTCTGGGAAAGTGATTTTCACAGACAATAAAACATGTTGGCAGTTCCCAAAACATTGGAAACAGCTCCCTCCCTTTTTTTTGGTTGCTGAACAGCTGCTCGTGGTTGAGAATTATTCAGTTATTTTAATCATATTTTCTGCTCATTAAATTCCTTCTCTTACCCATGGTGGAATTCAATACTGTACCTCAGTGTTTCATGATATAAAGGTTACTGTGTATTCCAGGTGTCTGACCAGCTGTGAACACATCTGTGAATCACTAAAAAAACAAAACTTACTCCTTGAGTAAATTTTTTCCCAACAATAAGATGCAGTAACTCTTATTACTATTACTCCAGCCGTACCTTGCTGTGTAACAAAATTATTTGTATATATGTTATCTTTGTTCATTTGGCTAAATTGTAAGATTGGTTTGAGATACTGGCCTCCTGACATTTTTTTATTATAGTCATTTTTGCCTACTTGTACCAATTTCTCTTTCCCAAACACACCTTTGTTCAGAGAGGTTTGTCTGTATTTGAAGATGCAGGTCTTTATTGCCACACATGTTTAAATGTGATGGCTGTATGCTGGCCTCCAGCTGGACTACACCTCTGTCTACTGTGTATGAACAGCAGTCAATGGGCATTTTAGCCAACCAGATTTACAATGTGTTTAATAAGTGTGAATTTGCTGCTGGTGTGAGGAAGTCTTGAAGAATGAAGAGAAATAATTAATTGTGATCCTCTTATTTTTATTTTTTTATCAAGTAAAAATCCCTGGCATGTTAAAATCCTTCTAGCAACCATTTACTGAGCTAGACCAAAGTATGTGTCAGATGTTGCCTATACTTGACCTCAGGTCTTCACAGCAGCTGTGCAAGGTCAATTTTTAGGGCCATCTGTTTTACAGGTGAGAATGGTCAGACTCGGTTTACTTGCCAAATCCATACAAATGATAAATGGTGCCTGAGCAAAGCCTGTACGTTTTCCACCTTACCAAACTGATTATTCATAGCTTAACAGAGTGCCTGAGAAGCGTGGGGGTGGGGGAACCTCGCTTTTGGAAGACGAGTTTCATATACATCACGTCAGTGTTTTTTCCAGCCCTTAAATTAGCCAACACCTGTAATGACACTCCTTTGTTGGAATTAAGGTGTCACAAACATTACCTTTGTATTAGTTGCTGGTATACAGTAAAAATAAGGAAATAAATAGAAGCCAAATCAGTAATAGGGAACAGTGCCCTTTTAAACCATCTTACAGTTTGCCAGGAGATTTTATAATTAGTCCTTCTTTTTATAGGAAAAAGTACTTTCTCCAAATCAAAAATTTATTATTAGGCTTATTTGTAATATAAGAGGATTCTGTTGCTTTCCTAGAGGATTCATGGCAGAATTTGTTTAAGTTATAAGTTGTCTTATTTAGTACCTGGAAATTTAACTTTTGAGCTTCAAAATTGTGTGAAACGTATTGTAGATCTCCAGTGTGTCTCACTAATCAAGCCATCCTTGTGTGTTTTAAGAACCAACTCCTGACTGACCATGGACATAATCCTCTCATGAAAAAAGTTTTTGACGTCTACCTTTGTTTTCTTCAAAAACATCAGTCTGAAACAGCTTTAAAAAATGTCTTCACTGCCTTAAGGTCATTAATTTATAAGGTAAGTTGTTTCATCAGGGAAAGTCATCATTGATTGTCATGTTTCCTCTTTATACCTGGAATTGAAGGGAGCACTGACCTTTATTTGGTTATTTCCTTTCTTGTGTTTTATTTAGTTTCCCTCAACGTTCTATGAAGGGAGAGCTGACATGTGCGCTGCACTGTGCTATGAGATTCTGAAGTTCTGTAACTCCAAACTGAGCTCCATCAGAAGTGAGGCCTCCCAGCTGCTCTATTTCCTGATGAGGAACAACTTCGACTACACTGGAAAAAAGTCCTTTGTCCGGACACATTTGCAAGTGAGTGTAGTTCAGCTTTCCAAACATAATTTCATAGAAATTATGCTCTCAAATGTTTAATGCTCTCAGGAAAACTTTAAGTGTTACATCTATTGATTCACCTCTGTGTGAGTACTACAAGATCTGGCATCAAGGTGGAAAATTCAAAAGTCACATAGACTAGTTTGGTTTTTTTCATCCTCCACCTTGTAAGATTTAGGCTCAGGATATGTTTCTGTTGGTAAATTAACATTTACATATTGATTTAATATGGGACTGACTAAAATTCCATTGATTCAAGATATATTCGAATCTGTGTAAGGCTGCTTCATCGTAAATATCATAGGTGAGACACAAAAAGTCCAAAGTGGTTCTTTTCCTTCTTCCATCTACTGGTACACACCTGTCTCTCCAGAGTTAAAATGTCCCAAGCTCTCTGCTCTGGGAACCATGCAAGATACTGAAAAGTCATATGTATTTTTATAGACTCTTCTGCAAATATGTATAAGAGTGCCCTTTTCATCCCAGTAATTTTTTAACAAGTATGTATTTTTTTTTTTTTTTGCAAACTACATACTAGGATCCATGGATCCAACCATGAACAAAACAGTACTTTCTCTTGGCCCCCATGGAGTTTGTATCCAACTGGAGAAGAGATAAACTCTGTAGCTCTTGTGACACAGTGTGCCCAGGGCTGTAATAAAGGAACTTTTTTGCATCAAGGAGGGGCATCTGGCTGAGGGGCCAAGGAGGCCTCTCAGAGGATGTGACAGTTGAATGGGGCTTAGCAACCCATAGGAAAGGGCCCATCCAGGGAACCAGAGAAGATACTTATAATGGAGTTGAGAACATGAGTGAAAACAAGTTGAGGAAGCATCAGTGCCTATTTGGAGGGATTGCCTAGATTCCAGTGCTGAGAATAGATTGGAGGAGTCGAGACCTTATCTAGGGAGACCTTGGGGAAACCACAGTCAAATCTAGGCCAGAGAGGATGGCATTCTAGACCAGTCATGGTAAGATTAGAAGGAGGAAGAGGTTGAGTTGACAGTACTTTGTGACTGGTTGCACTTGGATTTGGTGAAGGAAAAAGAGGGAATAGAATAACATCCATACATTTTAGCTTGAGTAACTGGGTAAAGACAGTGCTGTTCACTGACCCCTAAAAAGAAAGAGTCCCCTCACTGCAGAGTTAATGTGTATGCATCTTAGCAAAAAATGCAAAGGACAGTCCACTTATTGAAAGTTCAAACCAAAAACAGAGGAGGTAAATAATAAGGTCTCTCTTTTTGTTAGAGAAAGCAATAAATAACAATCCAAGTGACACCGGCTTACTCTGATTTTCATTCTTCTACACTTTCCGATGACCATTTTCCTATGTGAATAAAACACTTAAAAGATAGCGTAATTACCTTGTGCAATAGTTCTTGAAGGGAAGAAAAATGACTTGTACGTTGTTTCCAAATACTGGAGTGATCCCTGCTCAAAACTTCCCCTTTGCCTTCGTGCACATCCTAACTGAAGGTAGGAGCTGAGCCAGAGAAGTCATTTGAAAGTTAACTGATTTGCTCACATTTGTGTTTCCCCAAGGTCATTATTTCTGTCAGCCAGCTGATAGCAGATGTTGTGGGAATCGGGGGAACCAGATTCCAGCAGTCTTTGTCTATCATCAACAACTGTGCCAACAGTGACAGGCTCATCAAGGTGGGTGGCCTAGCCCCACTTTCTTTTTTATCCCTGAGACTCTGCCTCATATCTACTATGTTGTGGACAGACAGAACACAGCTGAAAGCAATGTGTCCTTCTTCCACCTTTGTTTTAGCACACCACATTCTCCTCGGATGTGAAGGACTTGACCAAAAGGATACGCACTGTTCTGATGGCCACCGCCCAGATGAAGGAGCACGAGAATGACCCAGAGATGCTGGTGGACCTGCAGTACAGTCTGGCCAAGTCCTATGCCAGCACCCCTGAGCTCAGGAAGACGTGGCTGGACAGCATGGCCAGGATCCACGTCAAAAATGGGGATCTCTCAGAGGTAGTCCTGCTAGCCTAGTCAGCAAGGTTTTTGAGAAAACCACACCCCATTCACTAGAAGTCAGTTTTGAGAAGAATTTCCCAGTTATTAAAAGAAGCCAATTAAAAATATATAATACTTTAAACAGTGTTAGGCTCAGAGTTTCTTCATAGTCAGCAAATCATTTTAATAATTTATCAAACTATAAGGGGATATTTATATTTTCTAAGAGCACTGTTTGAAAGCTCTTAGAAAACATTCATGTTCATATAAATGCCTGCTAATTGAGGTGCACTCAGTTTCTGCAACAAAAATCCTCTCTGGTTCTAAAATTCCTCTACTTATGATACAATTAGATTTTTCTGTCATTAAAGTAATGATAGGGCCTAGCTTTTTCCTTTTGATGTCATCCATCTCCATCTGTGAACGTGGTAGATGTCAGAGTGCCATTTGTGTACCGAGCTGCCATGTTTCAGGAGGTGGCAGTGTAGGAGAGTTGGGTGTGTGGGCTCCAGAGATGTACTGAATCCCAGATCCAACATTTATTAATTTTGTGATACTGAGCTAGTTTTTATCTGTAAAATGGGGGAAATAAGGGAAACAGCAGCCTGTAAGGCAATTCTGGGTTCCCATGAAAACTCTCTCCAGGGTCTGTGCCTAAGGCATTTAGGAATGATCAACAGTGTTACCAAAAAGGCATGCTTTTACTTTTAAACTTCTATAATTGCTTAAATTAGTAAAATTATACTCTACATTGAAAAATTTATATAACTATTTTTACATATTTATTATTCATGGAGTCCATTCTGTTTGACCATAACTTTCACTGTAAATTAGCTGTAATAAGAAATCAACTACAGCCCTGGCTGGCATAGCTCAGTGAATTGAGCACAGGCTGCAAACCAAAGCATCGCAGGTTCGATTCCCAGTCAGGGCACATGCCTGGGTTGCAGGCCACGGCCCCCAGCAACTGCACATTGATGTTTCTCTCTCTCTCTCTTCCTCCCTCCCTTCCCTCTCTAAAAAATAAATAAATAAAATCTTTAAAAAAAAAGAAACTATTTTAAAAAAATCAACTACATATTATTAGTAGATGTAATTTTTCTCTAATTCTGACAAGAACCAGAGACTCATGCATTAGAACTTATAGTAGGTTCATTGCCAACAGCTATCTGAATTTTATAAGACTGTGGTGACTTTATTTTTTCTTTCATTTTAAGGTGTTCATAATGTTATCCTTTCAAAATGAATTATAATTTTGGTTTATAATTTTATGTTTGGAAAAAGTTAAAACTTCATTTTTAAATGCAGAGAAAACTGTGTTAGTCCCTGAAATTTGAGTTGTTCTCTCAGAATCTAGAAAGGTACATGCCTTTTCTTTAAATGGTTTTCTTTCCACTTTATGATGTGGAAATCTAAGAGTAAGAAAAATGTTTTTTTTCTTTTACATCAAAATTTAATAACTCTAAATAGAAATGAGCCTTAGCAAATTTATTGCCATTTGTCTCAATGTGCAGTTTCTTTCTTTTTTAAATTATATTTTATTCTTTATGGTATTATAGTTGTACCAGTCTTTTGCCCCCTTCTACCCAGTGCCCCCTCCCCAATCCCTCAGGCAATTCCCACACTCTTGTCCATATCCATGGGTCATGGGTATATGTTCTTTGGCTACTCTATTCCCTGTGCTATACTTTACAGCCCCATGGCTGTTCTGTAACTACCAACTTGTACTTAATTCTTCACCTTTTTTTACCCATTCCCCTGACCCCCTCCTACCTGGCAACCATCAAAATGTTATCTATCTAAGATTCCTATTCTGTTCTGCTTTCTGTTTATTTTGTTTTTTAGAATCAATTGTTGATAGATATCATGTATGTGCTGCCTTTTTATTATTCGTATTTTTTTCTTTTAAGAAGAAAAAATTTTATTGTTGTTTAAGCAGTTGTCTCCAGTTCCCTTACCTCCCCGGCCCCCCAGCCATCCCCACCTCCCACCCCTGATTCTTATTCTTAAAGAAGACCCTTTAACATTTTATATAATACTAGTTTGGTGTTGATGAACTCCTTTAGCTTTTTCTTGTTTGGGAAACTCTTTATCTGTCCTTCAATTCTAAATGATTGCTTTGCTCAGTAGAGTAATCTTGGTTGTAGGTCCTTGCTTTTCATAACTTTGAGTATTTCTTGCCAATCTCTTCTAGCCTGCAGTTTCTTTTGAGAAATCAGCTGTTTTATGAGAACTCCCTTGTAGGTAGCCAAATCCTTTTCTCCTGCTGCTTTTAAGGTTCTCTCTTTGTATTTAACCTTTGGCATTTTAATTATGATGTGTCTTGGTGTTGGCCTTTTTTGGGTTTATCTTGTTTGGGACTCTGTACTTCTTGGACTTTTATGTCTATTTCCTTCACCAAGTTAGGGAATTTATCTGTCATTATGTTTTTCAAATAGGTTTCTAATTCCTTGCACTGTTTCTCTCCTCACATCCCCATGATACAAATGTTGGTATGCTTGTGGTTGTTCAGAGGCTCCTTACACTATCCTCATTTTTTTGGATTCCTTTTTCTTCTTGCTGTTCTGATTGGTTGTTTTTGCTTCCTGTACTCCAAATCACTGATCTGATTCTCAGCTTCATCCACTCAAATCACTGATTTGATTCTCAGCTTCATCCATTCTACTGTTGATTCCCTGTAAATTGTTCTTATTTCAATAAGCATGTCCTTTATTTCTGATTGGATTATTTTTATGCTCTGGAGGTCCTCACTAAGTTCCTTGAGCATCCTTATAACCAGTGTTTTGAACTCTGCATCTAATAAATTGCTTGTCTCCATTTTATTTAGTTCTTTTTCTGGAGTTTTATTGTGTTCTTTCATTTGGACCATGTTTGTTTGTCTCCTCATTTTGGCAGTTTCCTTGTGTATATTTCTGTGTAGAGCTACTACATCTCCCATGCACAGTCTCCCCTATTAGTCAAACTGGGTACTCAAGGTGCACCCACCATGTAGGCTGTGTTGTAGTTGGGCCTTGATTGCTCTTGGCACATCCAAGGTCAGCATTGCCTATGTTCTGTCTGTGATCACACAGCCTAAGCTACAAAGCAATCTGCAAATGGCTGCTACTTGTGCTGGGCTTAGAGGTGCCCAGGTGAGTACATGCTATGAACTAAGGCCAGTTGCTACTAGTGCCAGGCCTTGGGGTTCTTAGTGAGAGGTACAGGGCTCACTGAAACCAGATGCTGCTTGTTTGAGAGAATTTAGAAAAATGTGAATCATGGGTTAAGACAGACCATTTGTATGGAAAAGCCACTGGAAACACCTTGGGTGCACCTGTAAGTTTGGTGAGCAGGGCCTCAGGGAAACCAAGGTGTGGGGCAAACAGTGTGAGCTAGGCTGGAGTGTCAGATATGGTTCCTGTCTGCTAGTTCTTTGGCTCTGTTGGGGGAGGACTCAGAAAAAGAAGAATGACCTCTTCCAGTGCTTCTTTCTGGAAGAAAGCTGTCCCCTAGCTCTTGCCCTGATGCTGGACAATTCAATTTTCATCCCTATGTCTCTGATGTCTTTCAGTCTACTGACCCTGTGCTGGAGCTCAGAGTGAGTGAGTCTGAATAAGTCTGTGTATGGTCCCTTTAAGAGGAAGTGCCTGGGACTCTAGCAGTTTGTCTTCCACAGCCTCAATTCCCGCTGGTTTTTATAGCCAAAAGTTGTAGGGACTTCTCTTCTTGGCTTGAACCCTGGGCCTAGAAAGCCTAGTGTATGGCTGGAACCTCTCATTCATGTATATCTCTCCTGATTTTTATCTGCCACATGTGGGTATTGATCTAGCCCATTCTGCATGTCCACCCCTCCTACCGGTCTCAGTGTGGTTTCTTTTTTAATTCTGTAGTTGTTGGACTTCTGTTCAGCTTGATTTCTGACAGTTTTGAATGATGGTTATTCTATAGTTTAGTTGTAATTTTGATGTGGTTGTACAAGGAGATGAGCCATGTTTACCTGCACTGCCATCTTGACCAGATGTCTACAGCTTATTTAAAAATTTCAGTTTATGTGAATTGTTCCACTTTTTTCCAAAAGGTATGATGTCAGCTATTAGAAATGCTAGTTGGTTCCTTGATCTAATGTAAGTACATACAACCAGTAGATTTCAGTCATGTTTTGACAAGCTTTATAAATGGTGATTCTGAGGCATGTGTCTTTTATTACAGGCAGCAATGTGCTATGTCCATGTCACAGCCCTGGTGGCAGAATATCTCACACGTAAAGGTGAGGAATGATTCCTGTGTTTTGAAAAATGAATATAAAACTGTATAAAGCAGCAAACACAAGCAAGAGCCATTCAGAAAGATTTGGAGGTGGGGGATTTTGTGTGTGTGTGTACAAAAATACTTGTGTACTGTAGTCATTGTTTTGTTCACTGGCATGACATTAGCTTGACTTGGTAGGCACAGCAGAAATGTCAATATCAAAAAGAAAAATGGATGACATGTTGTCATATAACCTCTTACTGATGGCTCCCTCTCCTAAGAATTAGTTAATGAGCTTTGCATCTGGGTATCTCTGACCAGCCAATCTTAAGATGAAAAGATTTTACTTTTCCCTTATGATAGCTCCCACAAAAACTGTTTATCAATCAAAAGACAGTTGTAACAGATCATCAGACAGCATTTCCTGGAATGCAGCCCAGCTGGCTTTATTTTGTTAGAAGGCAGCCTCGCTGGCTGGAAACCTTGCCTTTCAGTGGAAGGAGAGGGCAGGAAGTAAATGGTGCCTGTTTGCATTTCACAAATTAGCAGGCCATGAACTCTTCACAGGAACCTTTAGTTAGACACTAGTTGCTCATTTCCATTTTAAAATCAGTGCAGGCTAAAAGAGCTTTTCTTTTTGGAACATGGAGTTCTTAGAAAAGCTGGCCCATGTGCACATGTGGACTGGAGCACGGCAGCACCAGATCTGGCTAATGAGGAGCACATTTACAAAGTGAGAAATGATAGAAAGTCACAGGTGCCCAGGCCAAGGAATTTCTATATTCTGGTACAGCTGGCTATTTGGAATGAAATTTAAGGGAATCTAGGCTTGTCATACATAAGAGCCTTAAAGAGGAAGAAATTCAGAAAGGGCTCCATAATCTCTCATTACCACCACAATTTCCTATTAAGACCTATATTATCAGGTAATACATTTCCTCATATTTAGAAGCAGACAAAGCCCCTCAAAGGGAGCCAGCCCTCTTCCCCTACAGCCACAGCACCTGCCAGAGGAGGCATCCCCTACAGCCACAGCACCTGCCAGAGGAGGCACCAGGGAGGCACCTGGTCCCAAGGGCCCCGGCTGCCCCATCCACGTGACACTCAGAGATGTGGGGATTTTCTTTTTCAGCTCTGCATGGATGGCCTTGGCCTTGGCCTTTGCCTTGGCTCTTCTTCCTCCCTTCATTTCCTTGTCCCTCTGGTTCAATGGGCAATGAGAGAAAAGCACTTTGGCCACCCTTGCAGTTGTTCCACTAGAGTTAAGCTGCATATTTAAATGTACTCTGTAGCCTAAAATTAGTGGTTGGATTTTATAATCTTGCTTTGTGTTCATTAATGTCAAGCTCCTAAATTAATGCTTTTTATTTGTCTACATAAAATAAAACAAGGCTAAACTAGGATAGTGGCAGAGACATTAGACAACCCATGATAGGCTTGGAAACCTTGACCAATATTCAGTAGGAAAATCTCTGACTTTAGGACCTACTCCTTTAAGACCTGGTATTAAAATTCACTGTGTTCCTTTTTCCCCAAAATGTGGGAGGTCTCAATTCAAATTTTGATGTCTGTTTTGTATTATTGTAAATAATGATCACAAAATAAAGTAACAAGATATTTCAAGTCCTTCATTTGATTATTTTTTCCCAGCTGAAATTATCCAGCTAACATAAAACTTTTCCCATTGTCTCCAAGATGTGTAGAGGCCCCAAATTGGCCATTATTGTCATCATCTTATCCCAGGTATTTGTCTCAGTTCCAACCTTACACCATTCCCCCCCCAGAGAACTGAGTGTTTGTGCCCCTAAACTATTCATGCTTTCTATGCTCCAGCTCAACAGCTGTGGGGAGGACAGAAGTCTCTCTTTACCTTAGACAGCCCATTGGAACCAGCTAAGGTGCCCTCTCAGTTCATCGCAGTGGCTGTTGAGTACATCTTGGTTTTGTAGACTGCTTCATGAAGGAAAAGGGCAAGTTCTAATCTGAGTTCTGGATTAACCACAACCAGACTGGGTGAGATGACACCTTGAAGGAAACAGTTATTTTTGAGTCCTATATTTTGCTTTGATTGGCTTTTGCTTCTTTATTTTTCTTTGTGTCTGAGCAAATGTCATCTGACCAAATCAAATTATTGTTTATTGGTTATTTTATAATTAATTTGATTCAGTACCCATTTCACTTCATTTACAGTGTAAAGATTACATACATTTTAATAAAGGTGGGTGAATGAAAAGGGGTGAGAAAAAGAAACAAATTGAAGGAAGCAAAGGTTAAATATGAGGAAGCAAATGAATGAAAGCACACAGTGGGCCCCAGGCTCCCATGGGAATTCTGGTCTGAGAAATAGGGTATTTCAAAATCAGTTATTTCATGTAATACAAAAGCATACAGGGCACGAGGAACCCTCAAGATTGATCCACTTACAGGTTAATAACTCCCTCCTTTTTCTTTTGATTCTAGGCATGTTTAGACAAGGATGCACAGCCTTCAGGATGATTACCCCAAACATAGATGAGGAGGCTTCCATGATGGAAGATGTCGGAATGCAGGATGTCCATTTCAACGAGGTGAGTGCTCCAGCCCCTATAGGTTTTCAGTTACTTGAATATCTCAGAATCCACTGTTTACCCTGTCAGTGTATCAAACAAAGGCTTTTCTCTCTGCATCTGCTGTTGACATACTTTCTCTAATTAAAATAATGCTCCAGACAACTGAAACAGAGCAGCCAAAGATACTGCCCTTCTCCCTTTCTAGGAATCCCTCCTATACTCTGAGAGTTTGAGGAGCTACTTAGTAGTGAAGTGAGGCTGAAGGTTCAGACTCTTGTGGTGAAAGGCCTAGTATTTTGGCCATAAAGTTTCTCATGATTTCCAGCAATTTATTTCTCCAGTTCTTGGGTTTTGTTGCTATTTTCACCTGACTTTTAAATCAGTGTGTCTGACAGTAGATGTATTCCCAGTGTCCCCAAACAGTCAAACACATGGGTGGCCAGACGGCTTGGAACAGGACAGCCCATCGGGTTCTGGTTCGTGCCTCCACTTGTGCTCTGTAGCCCAGGTTCTGGCAACACTAAGAAATAAGATCACCCTGTCCCACCCCCAGTAGAGAACAAAAAGTTTGACATTAGATCTTTGAAGCAATTTCTGTGTTTTGCCAAAACAGAAATATGCATTGTTTACTATTGTTATTTTAATTAAATTAATAAATAAGTATTTTTACCTTGAAACACCTGGACAGGTGGTAATTTTTTAATATTTTACTGTGAAATGTGAAGCCTGCCACTGAGGTAAAGCAACAGAGCACATGTGCTCTTGGCTTTGAACCCCTCACTACAAGGCCACCTTGCAGTTACTTATCTATAACGAGAGAGTTTTGAAATAAAGCTAGAAATTTGAATAAATGCCAGTTATCTGCTTATGTTCCCTGAATTTCCTCTTCCTTGAATATATGCCAGTAGGGTTTTTCATGTGAGCCTGCCTCTCCTCAACTCAGGGCAGAATGGGACAGTCACGGGAAAGCTTTTCTTTTTCTCTTTTTTTTTTTATAAATATATTTTATTGATTATGCTATTACAGCTGTCCCATTACCCCCCCTTCATTCCCCTTGACCCTGCATATCCTCTCCCACCCACATTCCCCCTCTTTAGTTCATGTCCATGTGTCATAAGTTCTTTAGCTTCTACATTTCCCATACTATTCTTGCCCTCCCCTGTCTATTTTCTACCTACTATCTGTGCTACTTATTCTCCGTATCTTTTCCCCCTCTCTCTTCCTCCCACTCCCCTGTTGCTAACCCTCCATGTGATCTCCATTTCTGTGGTTCTGTTCCTGTTCTAGTTGTTTGCTTAGTTTGTTTTTGTTTTTGTTTTTGTTTTAGGTGTGGTTGTTAATAATTGTGAGTTTGCTGTCTTTTTACTATACATGTTTTCTATCTTTTTCTTAGATAAGTCCCTTTAACATTTCATATAATAAGGGCTTGGTGATGATGAACTCCTTTAACTTGACCTTATGTGAGAAGCACTGTATCTGCCCTTCCATTCTAAATGAAAGCTTTGCTGGATAGAGCAATCTGGGATGTAGATCCTTGCCTTTCATGACTTCGAATACTTTTTTCCAGCCCCTTCTTGCCTGCAAGGTCTCTTTTGAGAAACCAGCTGACAGTCTGATGGGAACTCCGTTGTAGATTACTGTCTCCTTATCTCTTGCTGCTTCTAGGATTCTCTCCTTCATTTTTACCTTGCCTAATGTAATTATGATGTGCCTTGGTATGTTCCTCCCTGGGTCCAACTTCTTTGGGATTCTCTGAGCTTCCTGGACTTCCTGAAAGTCTATTTCCTTTGCCAGATTGAGGAAGTTCTTTATTATTTGTTCAAATAAGTTTTCCACTTGTTGCTCTTCTTCTTCTCCTTCAGGTGCCCCTGTAATTAGGATTTTGGAATGTTTAAAGATGCCCTGGAGGTTCTTAAGCCTCTTCTCATTTTTTTGAATTCTTATTTGTTCATTCTTTTCTGATTGTATGTTCTTTTCTTCCTTCTGGTCCACTGCATTGATGTGAGACCCAGCTTTCTTTCCATCACTATTGGTTCCCTGCACATTTTCTTCATTTCACTTATTGTAGCCTTCATTTTTTCATCTAATTCACAACCAAAATCAACCAATTCTGTGAGCTTCCTGATCACCAGTGTTTTTAATTGTGCATCTGATAGGTTGGCTATCTCTCGGTCACTTAAACTTATTGGTTCTGGAGCTTTCATTTGTTCTTCTATTTGAGTCATCTTTTTTTTTTTTTGTCTTGTCTGGTGCGCCTGTTACGTATGAGGGGTGGAGCCTTAGGTGTTCACCAGGGTGGGGCAACCCAGTGGCTGGATTGTGGCGCTGTATGTGGGGGCAGGGTCTGAGAGGGAACGATGGTGTTTGCTCCAATCTCCATCAGACTTCAGTCCCTTCTGCTGCTTTCCCCAAGCAAACTGGACCTTGCTGGTGCTAATTCCCGTGTGGGTGGGCTTGTACACTCCATGGGTCTTTCCAGTGCCCTCTCCGGTGAGGCTGGGAGTCTCTCCCTGTGCCTCAACCTCCACAGGTGTTTTCAATCAGTGCCCCAAGGCTCTTATTTCCAGCGCTGGGATCCTCGGTTGCGTACAGCGTCTTGCTTTACAATCGCCACCTCTCTGGGACTGCCAGTCACCACCCCTTGGTCGGCGTCTGCCCGCTGTAGTCTTGCGCACCCAGGATGCTCAACGTGCCCAGTCCCAACACTGCCACCCAGCTGTCTGACTCCACCCCTCCTAACAGTCTGGATGAACAGGTCTATTTTAACTCATTGGTTGTCCAACTTCCATACAGTTCAATTTTCTGTCAGTTCTGGTTGTATTCTATTTCTAAATTGTTGTTGTCCCTGTCTTGGTTGTGCGAGGAGGCACAGTGTGTCTACTTATGCCTCCATCTTGGCCAGAAGTCCACGGGAAAGCTTTTCAGTCCTGCCCTTCTTTTAGAGAAAATGAAATTGTTTTTTTCTTCATGTTGTAAGAAAGAACAGAGAAAGGAGTTATTATCTATTGTTATACTTCTTTTTATGGTGTGGAGTCCTACAATTAATATGAAAACTTTTAATCACGTTCTTGCCAATAGGTACGTAGCGCCTATGCACAGACATCCTGCCCTGGGCTAAGGAAGTCTTTGAGGTCCTTACTTTTTCAACTGAGTGTCTGTGTGAGTCTGGATTTTTTTTGTATGTACATGTCATTCAAAACAGCACATAGAACAGATTGAATGGAGAAAGCAGCTATGAGAATCCAGGTTTCTCCCATGATAAAGTCAGACATTAAAGAGAATCACAAAAACATAAAACAATGCCATTCTTCTCTAAATTTTTTTGGAAATGAAATTTTTAAATGTTATTTTCTTAACATGCATTAAGTTTACTATTGTTATTTTAATTAAATTAATAAGTAAGTATTTTTACCTTGAAACACCTGGACAGGTGGTAATTTTTTAATTTTTTACTGTGAAATGTGAAACCTGCCACTGAGGTAAAGCAACAGAGCACATGTGCTCTTGGCTTTAAACCCCTCACTTCAAGGCCAATTGCAACTGGTTTTTTTCTTGAGAAGAGGCTTGATGGATCTTCTTGCAGAAACCATCTTTGACCTCCATGCCAAGTCAGACCTTTGGAGTACAGCACTTTGTTTAGAATTCAGTAAGGAAAAAAAATCAGTGATGTTAAGAATTAAAGATTTGAAAGTAAACAGTTCTCAGAAACCTGTCCCACAGGGATCATAAAATGAAGCTCAAGTTTGCTCATCTGATTAAATAATAGCCTGGAATAATTACTACAGCCTAGAGATTTAGCCTGTGAAATCACAGGCTAATTTTATTGGGAAATTGGTGAATGGCACCCACTCTGAGCAATAGCTAAACATGTGATAGAGATTAACTTTATCAGTTATTTTCAGAATATGGATTTTCCACCCTGACCTTGAAGCATAAAGTTGGAAAATCTTTAACAAGGTCCATAGTACATAACAATCTATAATGATTAGGATGTTCCACAGCAGGGTTATAAACTCCTGAGCAAGCCCTGCACATCAAGATTGAAACCAGCCAGGAATGAAAACAATAACACATGTTCTAAAAGCCAGGAAAACAGAAATTGTCATGTACGTTTTTGCTTTAGCTATCAGGATATCTTAAGAAAAAGAGAAAGTTGAAAATCTCTGCCAGAGAAGGGAATACACAAATATTAATAAAAATCATTATCCATTTAATTTGGATTATTAGATATATTTAAATGCTTTTAATATTCCCCTAAATGATTTTAGAGAAGCTACCCAAAAATACAGAATTCTTCTCTCAGCAGGCTTCAGTGAGTTCATATTGGTTGCAGTTTATCTTTCCTAACTCTAATCTGAAGGACAGACTCCCTCCAACTACTTTTGATTAGATGAAAAGGAACATCCCTCCCTGGCCAGGTGGCTCAGTTGGCTGCAGCATCATCCCATATACCAAAAGGTTTCAGTTCAATTCCCAGTCAGGGCATGTACCTAGGTTGCGTGTTTGATTTGGGGTCAGGGTGCATATGGGAGGCAACTGATTGATGTTTCATTCTGTCTCTCTTTTTGTCTCTTTCTCCCTCCTTCTCCCTCCAGAATCAGTTAAAAAACATACTATGGTGAGGATTTTATTTTTTTTTCTAATTTTTTTTATTTTAATCATTGTTCAAGTACAGTTTTCTCCCTTTTACTCCCATTCCAGCCCACCTACCCAAACCTCCCCACTTCCCTCCCATTACCACCCTCCCCCTAGTTTTTGTCCATGTGTCCTTTAAATTTGTTCCTATAAACCCTTCCCATTCTCCCCTAAAATTCCCTCTTCCTTCCCCTCTGGTGACTCTCAGTCTGTCCTCTATTTCAGTGTCTTTGGTTGTATTTTGCTTGTTTCTTTGTTTTGTTGTTTAGGTTCCTATTAAAGGTGAGATCATATGGTATTTGCCTTTCACTGCCTGGGTTATTTTGCTTAGCATAATGCTTTCCAGCTCCATCCAAGCTGTTGCAAAGGGTAGGAGCTCCTTC